TAAACTTTCCAGCATCCATTTCTGCTTCAGTCAGGTAGGTAACATAATCATCAAAGTTAGTAGGCCTTTTAGACCTAGATGACCTCCTAAGCAAATTTTCGGGTTGAGCATTGGCTTGATGGTGATCATTTGAGGTGTCTTCATTTCCAGGTACATTTGGAGTAGGAGGAGGTGCAGTGTCCTGCGGATTGGCATTAAGTACAAGAGGAGTAATTGGAGGTAAATTAATCGACAAGTCTCTTCCCCCCGCGTCTTGTACTTCTAGCAATTCATCATAAGGGTTTTCACTGCTCCCACTGAGCTTAAAATCTTCAAGGAAATGAGCATCTTTGGTTTCTACAATGCGAGTGACATGGGAAGGACAATAAAATCTGTAACCCTTTGAGTGAGAAGGATAACCAATGAAGTAGCAAGTTACAGTTTTTATGTCGAGTTTCTTCAAGAAGGGATTATAAAGTTTAGCTTCGGCAAGACAACCCCATACTTTCATATATCTTAGACTCGGTTTCCTTCCTGTCCAGAGTTCATAAGGACTTTTAGGGACAGCTTTAGAAGGAACCCTATTGAGTATATGAATGGTTTTTTTTAAGGCCTCGGTCCAGAGATATAGAGGTAAACCTGAGTTGGCTAACATACTGCGTACCATGTCTATTAGGGTCTTATTTCTTCTCTCAGCAACACCATTCTGCTGAGGAGTACCAGGCATAGTATATTGATTCACGATCCCCTCGTCCTTACAAAACTCATAAAATGGACTAGGAGCTTGACCCACATCAGTATGTCTACCATAATATTCTCCTCCTCTATCTGATCTTACAACTTTTATCTGACGATCAAGATGTGTTTCAACTTCAGTTTTATAATCTTTAAAAGTTGTAAGTGATTTAGATTTTTCCTTAATGAGATGCAAGTACATATAACGAGAATAATCATCAATATAAGTGATAAATGAGTTATGTCCAGTTATGCTAGTGATAGAGTAAGGACCACTAATATCAGTGTGGATGAGCTCTAATAAATTAGAACTCCTAGTGGCACCTTTCTTATTCACTGATGTCATTTTACCTTTAAGGCATTTGACACATGTTCCAAAATCATTGAAATCGAGAGATGGTAACACTTCATTCTTCACGAGTCTAGACAAACGTTCTCGTGAAATGTGGCCTAAGCGTTGATGCCACAACATGGATGAAGTTTCTAAGTCTCGTTTTTGTTTTCTCTTTGTTAGTGTCTGATTGATATTATATGACAACAAAGATTTGGAAAAATCATCATCTAGTTCTAATTTATAGAGACCACCATCCAGAAAACCATGACCAAACACTTAAGAATTGAAACTAATAGTAAGTCTGCCATGACCATGAGAAACATCAAAACCGTCTATGTCTAACTTTGGTCCTGATACTAAATTCCGAGTAATCTCAGGAATATATAAGGTATCATAAAGTTTAATACATAAACCAGTTTTCATTATTAATTCTAAGGTTCCCACGGCTTCGACAGCTAGTTCTGTTCCATTCCCCAGCTTAAGTGTTCTTCGGTTTCTTTCCAGCTTCTGGATTGTAAGGAATCCCTGAAGTGAGTTGGTTACATGAACCATAGAACCAGAGTCAAACCACCATGTATTAGTTGGAACATTTAAATTAAAGGACTCAAGTATCATGTAAAGATGATTACCTTTCTTCGTCAGCCACTCCTTAAAGTCTTGGCAGTCTTTCTGTCTATGTCCTTCCTTGCGGCAGAACTTGCAGTAAGACTTCCCTTT